CCACCACCAGCAATTGCTGTGTAAAGCAACAGAGAACTCAGGGAAATAGCAGTGACTGGGACAGAGAAGCCGTCCCTCTGCTAGAGGGTCCCGAGGGCAGCACGCTGAATTCCGTAGGCAGGTTGAAGAGCAGCGAACAGAAAGCAGAGATGGCTGGAAATGCAGAGAGAAGGCAACGTGTGTGGAGGCATTTGGGAGTTGCACCCCACCGTCTGGGCTTATTCCAGATCAAGGAGACTAGGAGGCCCCCGAGGGCTGCTATGATTGATGGGATGTAGTAAGGATCCTGCAGTTTCTCACCCGGAGTCACACCTTTTCTCCCTAATACGTGGAACCTTCCCCGCCATGTTGATTATATGGCGGAATATGAAGAATGAAAAAGCTGCCCAGAGAAACAGTTTGGGTCACATTCTGTGCTGAAAGCAATAAAGCTAGAGACTGGTCATAAATCTTTTAAGAAAAAACTACCGTCGGGAAGTTTAGAAAACAAATATTGAATCAATAGAATTAGATTTTTGTAAGAAACTAGTCTTTTAATGAAACCAGGTACTGACATTTCTCTTTTCCTCCCAGCCACCACTACACTGACATGAAAGGACTAAAAAGTTGATCACCTTTTAGGGCAGAATTAACGAGGGAGGAGATCTCAGTCCCTGAGAGAACTTGGACGGTTTGGGTAGGTGGGAGCTGATGAGGGAGTGTGAGCTAAATGCCTGCAGAGGGAGATGAGTCAGAAAGGAGCTGATGAGCCCAAACGACCCCCGGAAGGCTCAGGATGGTGGGCAGAACTAGGGAGCCCGGCAGGGAAGCCAGACCCAAGCCTCATCTCCTTGTGAGGCCTTGAATGGTTCCTCTCCCGAGGAGGGGAAGCAGGTGTGCTCAAGACGAGGGACCCTGGGACACAAGGCAGCAGGGGCTCAGGGCTGAAAGAGGCTGGCAGGTGGTAACATGAGCTCTGCCCTTAGTAGCACGAGCTGGGAGTCTGCTCTGCTCCCTGAGGGCCCAGAGCCAGGCATCTAACCCCAGGTAGCTTGCTTATGTAGGAAAATGGGCTCCAGAGAAAGACCGCTGAGTACTTTTCAAAGCAAAAATTTCCCAGCATGCACTGTCCCAGAAGCCATTGTTCTGGCATCCCATAATAATACCCAGAGTCTTTGTGTCCTTCACATGTAACACACACACATGCATACACATACGAGTGCATGTGCACACATGCTCATATGCATGTGAAGATAGCCAGGACCCAGGGACAGTTGAAGAAAGCTTTGAACAAATAAATGAGATAATGAATTTCCTGGGGCCCTTGCTTCATTGAGTGGCAAAAAAACCTACTTGCAAATATAAACTCAGCAGAAAAGAATGTCTCTAACATGAGAGAGAGGCCAAGTCAACCCAAGATGAGAAACAAGAGACAATACGGGAAAAAAGCATTAAAAAAAGGTAACCCAAATGATATGTCCTCAGGGAAATAAAACAAGAGCAGCGTGCTATGAAAAAGAAACTCCCATTAGATATTTTTACAAAAATAAAATATTCAATAGAAGTGATAGAGTTTATGGCTCTCCCTGGCGGTGCAACAGGTTAAAGCACGGCACGATCTATGACACTCTCAGAAGCCCCTGCAGCACGAGTTCGATCCCCGGCTGGGGAGCTGACCCACATGGCGCAGCAGACCTCTCCTGTCTCTCCGCTGCTCCCCTCAGCAGTGTTTCAGTAGATCCACCTGTT